GTTCTCTCTTTTGATTTTATATTGGAGTGGCTAGATTCCTTTTTTTTCGGAGTTCCCACAGAGGCCCAAGTCAGATGAGGATCAGATGCTCTCAGGCTTTCTCCTAAGGTCTGGATCCCTCCAGGAAAGATTTTGGCCTCAGGAATTTGGGGGTTGGACTGGTCTGAGAGCCTGCCCAGGAGAGATGCTGGTCTAGGGCAGCTGGTTCGTGTGTCACTCAGAGATGCAAAGGCAGATGGGGGAGGGAATCAGCCCCAAGGACTCCCAGGGACTGCACTGAGGAGCTGGGTTGGTCTGGATGCAAAGGATCAGGAAGAGGAAAGGTCAGCCCCTGTGTCCTGGAAAGAGGCTGGTGGGTGGTGTAGGCCCAAGGAAGCAGAGGGAGGTGAGGGTGGGGCCAGGCCCAGAAGCAGTGCTCCTGGGGACCAGAGAAGGCATTGAGTTTGTCTGGATGAAGAGGATCAGGAAGCAGTAGTGGTTCTCTAGCTATCTGGGGCCCCAAGACAAGGAATGGGGCAGGGCCCAAACTAGGAGGAGAGAACAACGGGGGAGATGGGAGGGTGAATGAGGCTGGGGGAATCAAGGCACGGAGGGCGCAATGGACTTACCTTGGAGAGAGCAGGATGACAATTTTCTGTTTGACAACATGCAATACAAAATTCCAGTTAGTTGAAGCTATGCCTATATAATGCCCATCCCCCTGACACAAAGGTATGTGTTGAAGAGCAGAGTTTGGGGCCCTTTGCTTAGGCATGATAATTTAGGGAAAAAGCTCATCAATATTGGCTGGGTGCCTCATTTTCATATTATCCAGACAGAAGTCACTGAACCACACACAGCTCTGCTCCTTAGAAACAGAGACTAAAAGGAGATGTGCGTGTGAACAGTTACCCATATTCAATTGGGAAACATACTTTCTACTCTAGGATGAACTGGAATATGTTAAATTATGCCTGAAGAAATGTCTGGCACTGCACACAGGGGATCTGTGGACTGAGTGCTACTCTTCTGCAGGCAGGTAATCTCAAGTAAGTCCTTAATGGTCTCATCACCGATAGCTCTTCACTAGTAGATGGAGTTTGATTGCACGACTTCCAAGTTCTAAAGCCCCATGTTTTGAAGACTTTGACTGAAGAGCTACATGGGTTGCTTCCATGATTAGCTATACTCTACTTTTAAAGACTCCTTTTTCAAAACTATTAACATATTGATTAGTATTTACTGGGGCTCAGCCAAGTGTATCCTCTGTGTCATCTGAAGCTCATATCCTATGAGAGGGTGACTAGTCAGGGTACAAATACCCACTGGAAAGGTGACTGAAAGTTAGAGTAAGGCAAGGATTGGAAAACTGGGCACAACCTTTCCAAGCTCCTTTAAGACTCTGACTCCATAATATCTTCTTGGACACAACAAGCTGGGTTTTATGGAGAAATGGACACTTATAAGACCCTTGAGCAAATGGTGAGATTTTCAAAGACAGATGGGGTGGAGGGAGTCCTAGGTAGAAGGAATAGAAGAAATACAACTATAGACACAGAAAATTCAGATGTTTAAAGAATTCCTGAACCAGGAAGAGCCTGGAGAGATCGCTCTGCGGTTAAGAGCACTGACTGCTCTTGCAGAGAACACAGGTTCAGTTCCCAGCACCCACATGGTGGCTAACAACCATCAGTAACTCCAGTTCCAGGGGATCTGATGCCCTTTTCTGGCCTCTGTAGGCAGTGTACGACATGGGTGCATATACATTCATGCAGGCAATATACTCATACACATAAAAAGTTTTAAAAAGAAGTCCTGAACAAAAATACCGAAAGACAACACATCTAATTTTTTCTGTATTCCAGATAGGATATTAATTTATTTAGTCCACAAATATTCATTGAACACCTAGTCTGGCCAATACACAATGCCTGGTGATACAGGACATCCTGAAATGCCTTAGTATATTCATTCTCATATGGGTTTAAACTAAGCATTTTGTAAAATAAAAGAAATATATGTGTACATTTTATATAAATTAGGGTTTGTATGTATGTGTATGTGTATGTGGGGGTGCACATGGCTATGTGTGTGCATGTAGAGGCCAGAGGTAACAACTGTTGTTTCTCTCTATTACGTTTCATCTTATTCCCTTGAGACAGGGTCTCTAACTGAATGTGAAGCTCACTGATTGGCTAGAGGAGCTGGTCAGCAAGTCCCTGGGAGCCTCTTGTCTCTGCCTCCCTAGCACTGGGGTTACACAAAGTGTCCTTATGCCTGGCTTTTTATGTGGGTGCTAGAGATCTGAACTTGGGTCCTCATGCTTGGGGACCAGACACTTTACTCACAGAGCTGTCCTCCCAGCCCCTTCTGTATATATTGATATTTTATATAAAATATTGAAGCTACAGAAGAGGACAAAGAATTTTAAATCTTTGTCTAAATTTATAGACTTTAAAGGAAGTTGTCTCATTTAGCAGAAAGAATGAAAAATATAAATTTGAATGAATACAGAAGCAGTCACTGATTAGCTCAAAGCAACATATAAATTGATCTTTCCAGTGAAAGGGCCTTAGAATAAGTGATCTGAAGAACACCTGTTTAGGTGTACCAGAATCAACAATTAACTTCTTCAGAGAATGAGGAGTTTCCTACAGCCTTCATTCCAGTAAGAGGCAACAAAGCTTAACATTTTTTGACTGTCAAAAAGATCATTTACCAGGGCCAGAGGAAAATATTCATACCCACCTCTTAATCTTGCAGAGGCAGCTCCCTTAAGTCACTCACTTAATTAGGCTGGGCTGGGGCTGGGCCTGGGGGTCCCCTGTAGGATTCTGTGCTTGCCATTCTTCCTCTTTAAGCAATCTGGGCTCTAGACCTTCCAGGAAGAGCAAAAAAGATTCATTCTTAATCTTGGAGGAGCAGGTGGTGAATTTGATTGGTACAAAGATGGGAGCCTCAAGCCTAGTGGCCCCATATGGCTTTAATCTAATGTGGCTTGTGCTACCCATGCCTGCTCAGTCTAAAGCAACTAAGGCTGGCTCCGCACAAGTCCAGAGAGTAAGTATCCTTCACAGAGACCAGGATGAACAGCCTAAGTGAGACACCTTGGCTTTACTCTCTGCTGCCCCCTCCTTAGATGCCTTCTTCATTCTAAGAATAGTTACACCTAAATTTTATTGAGTGCTTACTATATACCATATATCATACATTTTATGTGCAAAGCCTTGCTGATTCCTTTAACCCCACTCCATGACCTTGGTAATAGTAATATTTCCATTTTATAACAGCTGAACGACTATGCAATAAATTCATTATCTCTTGGGGTGCTTCTGAGAGAAGCATGAAATGTTCATGCTGACACTAGGGCCACAGGTAGAAACCAGGTCTCATTGGCAAGCAGAGAGTATGGCCACTCTACAGCTAAGAGCACTTTGGTACAATGTCAGCTGTACAAGACTTGGCTCAGTCAGAATCCCTGGCAGTGTCAGCTGAGGCAGGTTTCCATTAGTCAGCTTTTCCTCTTTGTGATGGGCCTTTCTGAGTGTTGGCATTTTTATCTGTAAAATGTGGGCAATGAAATCTACTTCATACAGATATGTAAGAATGAAATGGGGGCAAAGTACCTAAACTGTGGGGAGGAGCTCGGGGTGGCAGTCACTTGATAAACCTGTTCTTTGTCCCCAGTAACCTCTGTGTGACCTCCACAAAACTCCCCAGTTCACCAGCACTCAGCAGCTTCATCCATGCAAGAATGGAGCTGGGTTCAGGTGGCAACAGCCCTTTGAACTGGCATTCTTCCTTTTCTAGCTCCTCTGGTGCAATTGTACACATGTATAGCACGAGGTTTTCTTTCAGCAATGTTGGTCTTTCATTACCTACTTTCATTTTCAGGGCTTTTTCTGGAAGGTTGAAAACACTGGTCATGGGACAACTTTGTCCCTGCCGTCCTTCTTTCCTTGGTCTCCTGCTTGTGCTGGAATCCCTCATGTCGTCCTTTCTTCAATTTGGAACAGAAATACCAGGAAGCAAGTTGATCTGCTAGCCCAGGAATCCCTCTTGGATTTGATTGGGTATAAGCTTTTCCTCTGTAACTTCACATCTACTAGCTTGTCCTTCCTTGGTATCAGAAAATATCTGCATTAACAAACAAGCAAACAAAAGCCATAACCTATATTCAAAGGGTACTCTATACTGCCAACTGCTGTGTGGCTTTTCCTGAGGAGACTTAAAGAAATACTGAATAGAAAATTCACTGATAGAAGGAACAAGTATGCCCAAGTAGAGCTTGGCGGACAAGTGAATTTGCTAGGTTTACTTACAGGAGCATGGGTGAGTCTGAGGCAGCTACATGGGCAGCTACCTGGGCAGCTACCTGGAAGTCACTGGGACAACTCATGGGCAACTAACCACCTAACAGTCCTATCAGTAGCACGGGCAACTCAAGGAAAATGTGTCACTGGAGAACCCCTGGGCAAGATGCCAGCAGCTAAACCTCGGAAGAGTTGCTTCTCTCTAGCAATTGTCTGTGAGCCAAGGGGTTTTGTAAGCCTTCCCCTCTGATTTTGTGAGCTAGCCACAGTAGCTCTGATTCAAGATGGTAACAATAAGCTCCTACCTGAAGGCAACAGCTATGTAGCTACCTGACACCACAATAATGGCTGTTTTCCAAAAAATAAATATCAAACTTAAATGCCTTAATGAACCAAAGGCAGTAGGAAATGGGACAAGCATAGAGGACTTATGCTCTGGGATGGTTCTTTATGCCTGTCACTAATCCTCAGAGCAGTGTGACCTAAAACAGCAAGGACACTGGCCATGTTTTTAAACCCCTTTCTTCAATACTGTTAATATTAACTGAGCACCTACATGTTTATGTTTGGCAATAGTGCTGGGCTCTGAGGGTTAGTAAAAACCCAAACACACAAGTCTCTGCCTTCACGAACATACACTGTGGCAGTAGAGATGCTCACCTAGTAACTCACAAGGGTATGTTGGATTCCAACCCTGACACTTGGCCTAGGTGCCCCAGAAAGGTTTGGCCTAGTTAAGGCAGCCAGGCACCGGCTCCCTGAGGAAGTGATGTGGCTCTAGTCCAGACGGGAAGGATGAGTCTGTGTATTCCGGGCAGAGGAAGCAGCTTGTGCAAAGCCCTGTGGTGGAGGAAAGCTCCCAAGTTTGAAGAACTGAAAGAAGGTCAGAGTGTCTGGAGCCCTGACAATAAGGGGAGAGGGTGCAAGATGGGGCAGGGAAAGGAGGTAGGGCCCTGATCAGGTCTAGCCTTGGAGGCCTTTTGAAGGATTAAGTCTGTTCCTAAAAGCCACCCCTAAGTGTTTTATAAGTGTTTTCAGCAGGGAAGTGTTAGAAGTAGAGGTGATTTTAAAGTGATCACTTTGGGAATATGGATTCAAAGGAGAAGGAAAAGAATCAAGAAGAGAGAAGGAGCTAGAGTGTAGTTCAGCAGTAAAAGGCTTGCCCAGCATGCACTAAACCCTGGGTTCCTTGTCTAGAAATGAGAGAAAGGGAGAGAGAGAGAGAATATGAGAGCTAGAGAAAAAGGAAAGGAAGAGGAGGAGGAGAAGAGAGGGGAAGGGAGGGAGACAACGAATGAGAGGTCTTAGTAGCTAATATTCATAGAGTTATTACTAGGAACCAAATATTATTTGGTGCGCTTTACACAGAGTATTTCATTTAATCCCGATACAGCCCTGTGGTCCAAATGCTATTGTCCTGCCTTTCTAGTAAAGAGGAGGCTGAGGCAGAACAATGAAGCCAGTGCTGGTGGACTCGTGAGTGCAGGACTCCGGCTGGAGCCCCAGCAGCTTGTCTGCAGAGCGCATGCTTCCTCATCTCAGAGGCTCCTTCTTACCCACAAGTCAGGAGGGAGTCTGTGGGGCCAGCAGCAGGGTAGGGCCTCAACAGATCTGGAAGCCACTGAATGGGAAGAAGTGACAAAATTGGACCCCTGGGGAGGGCTTGGGGAGAGTCTGGGTTTTTATGGTGATTGGTGGGGTAGAGCCACAGAGCCTGGGGCCAAGTATGAGGTGGGGAGCATACCCAGGGTAGAGGTCTTCTCCACAGCTCTGGGGCTGAGCACTTGGGCCCAGCTCCGTCCCTGCAGTCTGACCCTCCAGCCTGGCACTCCTGTTCTGTTTTCTTTTACTGAGAATTCCATGGAGCCACTGGCCACTGCTTACTCTATTTCTCTTCCTTTAAAAACAAGACGAGGCATTCTAACCCTGCTTTATTTATTTGTTCAACTTGATGTTTAATTCTTCCAGTTTCTAGAGGTTTTACTTGTACTCTGACTGCATTCCTAAAAATTTCTGACTGAAGACTGCATGCACATTGACTCTCCTCCTCTCAAAACGAATTCAAGCAGATAGCCATATTTTCTAGCTCCCAAACACTTCCTCTTCTGCCAACTGACATTCTTAATTCTGACCCTGGTCAGCCATGATCCCTAGAATGTATGTATTACTTGTTTCAACAATGCACTTTAGGTATCTCCATGCTGGAATGTCTGAAGCAGTACAGAATGTACTTGTCTCCAGCTGCCACTGAAATACATCTTTAATGCCCAGTCATTCTACATACTTGTCTCAAGATAAACATTTGGAAACTTTGCTGAAGGACAGTCTTCTGGGGTTGGGCAGATGGCTTAGTTGGGGAAGTACTTGCTGTGAAAATTTGAAGACAGAGTGTGGATCTCCATATGCACATAAAAGTCAGACACAGCAGGGCCTGTCTGTGATCCTCAGTGCTGGGGAGGTGGAGGCAGATGGATCCCTGAAGCTCACTGGCCTGCCAGCTCCCCCAAATCAATGAGCTACTTTAGCAAGAGACCTTATCTAAAAACATATGAGCAAGTGAGGAAGACACCTGACCCACCCTCTGGCCTCTATAGGCATATGCATGCACATGCATGAGTATGTGTATACATCCATATGAACATGTACATATGCACCACAAAAAAAGAAAGAAGGAAGAAAAGAAAGAAGGAACAATCTTACAGATTTCTAGTTCAAATGACTGGGTAACAAAGTCAATTTGGCAGAGAGATTTTTTGAGGCACTTGCGTGAGTACACACACACACACACACACACACACACACACACACACGTAGAGTTTTAGAGAGAGGGCAAGAATGTGACTCTGTTCTTAGCATGAGTAAGACCCTAGGTTCCATCCCTAACACCACAACAAACAAAAATTCCATTGGGTAAGTATAATCCTAGCTCCTTGTGAGGCTGAGGTAGGAGGATCATTTGAGCACAGGAGTTCAAGGCCAACCTGTCTCTAAAAATTTATAAATAAATTTTAAAAAGTTGAAGATATATACTATTATAAACATTCTTTAAATTCCAAAGCATATCAAATATATGAGGCAAGCTCTAAGGAATTAGCTGAGATTGCAACCCTAACTTGAGTCCCTTTGGCTAACTTTCTTCATCCAATGATTCCATGAAGGCAGTAAGGCTCCACTGATGCTTCTGTTAAGATGAGTATAATAGTGGAGTTGGCTGTGCATCCATCAGTTCATGCAATGACTACTGGGCGTTCAACTGAGACTGTGGTGTGGGCATGGTGATATTCCAGGAGGGTATAAGCTCCATCTGAAATTTAAATTTTGGGAAGTCATCAGAACTAGAGAAGTGATTAATTACATGACAATGGTAGTTATGACAGAGAAAAACAGCTACTATAGGCCTTGGTAGGAGCATCCAGACACAAAGGAATGGGGTAGTGGTGTGGGTAAAGCCAGAGATTCTGGAGGAAGAGAGCTTAAGCTAAAACTCAAAGGATGAATAGAAGTCATGCATGCAGAGGAGAGAGAGGGAGGGAGAGAGAGAGAGGAGAGAGAGAGAGAGAGAGAGAGAGAGAGAGAGAGAGAGAGAGAGAGAGAGACTGATTTAGACTTCCAGTAGTGGGAGCAGAAGAAAGAACAAATAGTGTTTAAAAAAAAAAAAGAAAAAGAATCTCACTAGGCCTGGATCTGTCATAATCATGTTAAGACATTTGAACATTGGGGACTGATAGTGGGCAACTGAGGTTGAGGTGCCTGGGTACACACAAAGTAAACAGTCGGTCAGTTAGTCAAGGAATCTGGATTAAAGTATAGAAGTTGTAACTAAAGCTAGCTAAAGGAGTGGAGGGGAGTGTGTTAGAAGACGTACAGGTACTCAGGAAGGGTGTTAAGTAATTTTGGTTTTCCGGAGGTTACTGATAATTTTGGCGGAGCAACTTGGGAGGACAGAGGCAGAAGGTAGATGGGTACTGGGAAAGAAGTGGGTGATAAACAGTGTAGACAACTCTGCAGATGACAAACAGTATAGACAAGTCTTTGGAAAAATTCAAGGGAAAGAGGAGCAACAGTTGGGTTTGTTTGGGATCTAGAAGACAGTTGAATTTACACTGCAGTGGTACAAATCAGGAAGAAGAAAGAGGCTGAGGATTCAGCAGAGAGAAAGCCAAGGTGCTGGGAGAGGTTGAGGATAGCATCAGGGATGTGGAAAAGAAAACAAAGCAGAAAGCACATTTGTTAAGAATGCAGGGAGAGATGAGGGGTGTAGCCCAGTATGCTTAGCATACAAAAAGGCCTTCAGCTTAATCCCCAGCATCACACAAACCAAGCAAAAAAGAATGAGGGAAAAGCTTCAGAACTGGAAGGTAAAAGAAAAGGAGAATTTTCTTTTCAAAAAGAAATGTTAGGGCTGGGGATGTAGCTCAGTGGCCAGAGTGCTTGCTTACCATGCACCCAGCCCTGGGTTAGAGCCCCAGGATTCCATAAACCAGGGGTGGTAGTGTATGCCTGTAATTCCAACACTTGGGAGGTAGAGGCAGGAGGATGAGAAGTTCAAGGTCATCTTTGTTTCTAAGACCTTGTCTTTAAAAATGTAAGAAAATAGAAAAACTAGTATTTTTATTTTTTACAAAAAGCAGGAAGAAATTTATGCCATATGCTTAAAAAAAAAAAAGTTCAAAATAACACAGTGAAATGCAAGTCTGT